TATATATATATATATATATATACATACATATACATACAGAAAAAAGGTCCAGTGTGATTAAACAGCACCAAAAACACACTGAGCAAGAGTGGGGCTTCAAACTTGCTCTTTTTGTGGAAGGGGGAAATGTCTTTACTCAGTCATAAAAATCATCTCAAAGTAATTAACAGCACATTTTTCTTATCTACACACACATTCAAATCAACCTCACACACACACACACACACACATTTTTATCCCTGTGTAAATTAAAAAATAATTTAGCAATATTAATTTAAGCTACTACTTAACAGTCATTTGTGGGAGCAGAGGTGACCAACAATAAACTTCTACAGACACAATTCCCACGTTGGCGACGAACAGAAAAACACAAATTTAATAATAATAATTATATTCTGCTTTTCTTTTCCTCTGCGAGAACAAGTTTCCTATTGTTTCATATAATTCTTAAATACAAATATTACGTAGCGTACTCCTACTCACACATGTACCGCCACCTCGCTCGCACTCAGTTCCACAGTGATCGAGGTCAGTCGTATGTAAACATGTTGACGAAAAATAAAAAGAAGAAGCCGAACAAAAGGAAGTGTACCTGCCATTTACTCTGTCTTGTTCTCACACCTGGTTCTTTAGAGAAAATACAGGTAAATTAATTCACTGCCACTTGAAGCGACTTTTAGGTCTGTTAGGAGCCGGCGGACGCCGCCACGTGTTGAACACGTATTCCTAYAGGTTAGCGCGTCCAGGAGGGTATGATGTCACTCTGCTGGCATCATCTCCTGTGCTCCTATTATCAGTGGGTTTTCCTCGGCATCATCTCCTGCGCTCCTATTGGTCAGTGGGTTTTCCTCTTCATGTCTCCACTCTGGCTTTGGTTCACGTCTGAGAGAGGTAGAGACACAAGCGTTTGTCAGCAGCATTTCAAAATAAGAGTCTAGATCCAGGTTGACAGAAACATGAACTGGAACAAAGTCCTGTTCACACTACTTTGAATATTTTTAAGTTTGCATCTTGTTTTCATGCACAGACTGTGGGGATACGTGGTAGCATGGTTACAGTCTCAGTCATTCAGGTTGTTTAGGTTGTGCACAGCTTTTGTTTTTTTAACAACTAAACAGCTGTAACCTCTAAAATACGATTCAGTTTGCAGGGATTCAGCCAGTTACAGCTTCCTGTTTATGCTCTTTCCCCATATTGTGATGATTCATTCAGGTCATCTCTGACAAGTCTGAGTAACAGAACAAATCCACACTGAGCTGACACTGATGGATGGAGAGTAAAGGGAGGAGGATTAAAATAAAAAGGAGGAGGAGGAATTCAGGTTACCTGAAAAAGCAAGCTGCAAGTGAGGAGGTAGGGCAGCCTGCGACCCTGACTGGAGGCTCTTATATAGATCTGAGGAGAGATGGAGGGAAGAGTGGACAGATGAGAGAAAAAAGAGGTGCGAAAACAGCAAAAAACACACGTTAAAACGAGGGATAAGAGGAAGCGATGGATCAAAGTGGAGAGGCGGCAGAACAAACAGCTCCGAGGGGTTCAGATGTCAGAAAGAAGACGGACAAAGACTGTTTCAGAACATCTGGTGAGCAGCAGAATGACACAAATATTCATCCCAGCTGTCACCCTGGACAGGTCCACCACAGGGACACAAACGAGACGACCATTCACTCTCTTACTCACACCACGTTAGACGCATCTTTTTAATTGGTACGGTAATTTTAAACATTTAGGACTGGTTTTAACCTAAACTTGTTCTAAACTAAATTAAATTATGAGAAGCTTTGTTACATAAAAAAAACTAAAAGCAGATTTTGTCTGGTTTTTGTTATTAACAACAAAGCTAATCTGATTCCTGGATCATTAGATGCTCAGCTGCAGCAGACGGACTTCATGTCCAGGAAACATTTCTCTACAGACGGTCCAGTCGGGCAACAGACCAGAACTTGTTAAAAGTGTCTGTTAAGTGACTAATTAACACTGGTTATGTGCATTTATTTACATGATAAATTCCAAGCCTTTTTAATGATTAACACTCACCCATTAGGTCGCTCTGTGCTAGCGGGTATCCTGAGTTGGAGCTGGGAGCTGATCCCATCCCAGCTGCTCCCGGGGCTCCAGGAGCGCTGAAATTAAGCATCGAAGGGAACTGAAAGGGTAGCGAGACGGGCACCAGGCCTCCTAACATCCCAAAGCCCAGAGGGAGAGCGGAGTGGTTGCTCAGGAGGGCGGAGCCGGCATTTGACACCTGAGAAGATGAGAAAAACAGAGTTTATTAAAAGACAAACTGGTTTTATTATTGAGCAACATGCTGTTAGGACACACACCTGTGAGAGGTTTATCGTTGTAGCTGATGAGGTCAAAGTGCTTGAAGCTGCCCAACCGTTTCCTGCCTTTGAGCCCTGGTTAGCCCCACCCACCGCCCTCTGCCTCTGATTGGCTGAGCCTGTAGCTGTGGAGGAAAGGGGCGTTTTGTCCGCCGACACCGCTCCTTTGTTGTTGGAGTTGCTGTTGACGCTGCTCGTGGTGGGCGGAGGTTTCTGGGCGCCGGCGAAGCTGCAGCCGCCCGGCGTTTGCTTTACCTGCCCGCTGAAGGGGGGCCGGAAGGTTTTGGGCGTTTTGGGAGCGTACTGGAGCTGCTGCTGGTTGGAGATGATCTGATGGGGGAGCTGGTGCGAGGGCGAGGATGACGGGGAGGGGGAGGAGGAGGGAGGAGGGGTGGGCGCAGGAGGCCGGGGGGTGAGTTTGATGATGGGGGAGGAGCTGCTGCTGTGGGACGACTTGGTGAGGGTGACCTGCATGGGGGTGATGAAGTTGGGCTGAGGGTGACGGTGCGGGTGGGGTTTAGCTTGAGAGGGGTGGGAGCTATGGGAGGTGGGGGACGGCGAGGACGCTGCGGGGGAGGGGGGGCAGAACGACTGCAGGTTGGGCGTGGAGCTGGGCCGGGACTGCGACGAAGAGGAGGAGGAAGGTGCGACGCTGCCGTTGCTGACAGATTTGGTGCTGGTCTTGGACAGTCCCTGACCAGTTCCCAACGTTCCCAGGATCCCTGCTGGGCTGGCGAAACCCTTCGGATGCGGAGGGAGCAGAGGGGAAGCTGTGGGGGGAGGCCGCTGCTTCGGGGGTGAGGGAGACGGGTGGGGGTGCATCTTGCCCATAATGGAGGCAGGTCTGGAAATGAGTCTCTGAGTCGGGCTTTGGACCTCCATAGCTTTAATCTGAGCGTAATGATCTTCCGCAGTCCTAGTGGCTAGCGACACGCCCGATGCCGTCACGCGGACCACGGAGGACACGACCGGAGACGAGGAGGTAGAGGAGGAGAGGACTGGCATGGTTCCCAGCGGGGGAGAGGCCTCCGCCTTCGACGGGGGGTGATGCTGAGGCGCGGATGAAACAGACACGGACACCTGAGAGGCCGAGGGGTAATGAGGGGCGACGGGGGGAGGAGAAGAGGTGGGTATCTGCAGGGGCGGGGGTGAAAGGGGGCTCTCCGCCAGGAAGCCCAGGCCCTTGGATGCGTTGCTGAGGATGGCCAGAGCGTGAGAGATGGAGTCCAGAGAGGGAGCCGTCAAATCCTCATCCAGAGAGTCCGACAGACAGATGGGCTCCGGGGGCGAGGAGGAGGAGGGAGGCGGGGGGCGGCTGGGTGTCGGGGCCAGAGATGGGATGGTGGTCATGGTCAGAGGAGGCTTGTTGGTCCAAAGACCCTCCTGAGAAACAAGAAACAACATGAGTAACCTTTAAAACAAAATGTTCACTTGTTTCTAAAAATAAACTCGTAGTAAAACGTTTGAGCATCATCCACCTTGGCTTTGGCCTTCGGTCCGGGCACCATCCTCCTCTTCACTCTGAATAACAAAAACAAACATTTACCAAACGTAAATAGAGCGATTTCAGTAAAATAAGAAGTTTCATAACAGATACTTACAGATTTCCAGTGAGGTGACCGTGAACAACAAAACTCTCCTTGAACAGAATCCTGCACATGCCAGTGACAAAAAACAAGAATAAAAATCAACTAACTCTCTTCATAAATTATTTTTTGTCTGGGATGCATTTTTTTATTACAACCAAGTAATCATAGTTAAAAAATGAGCTTGTATTTATTAATGTGTTGTTTCCTGGAGCTCTTCTTTTTATCACTAAATTAACATCTATTATTCTTGCATTGTGGCAGGAAGATAATTTCCTCCAACACTTCATCAGTCTGGTAGGTAGGTGTAGGAACCAAGCTTTGCCTCTGAAGTGTTTTTCTAGCAGGTTGTAATCTTGGAAGCACGTATGGCCAACAATCTGCTCATTTACTGTGCTTTTAAATATAAAATATACACAGAAAAATCGCTAAATCCAACTGTAGGCGTGTAGCTAATAGATAAAGACTTTTTATACAAATGTATTCTAGCAATGTACAATTTGCCTAACTCCTTGTTAAATTWAATTTTAAGAAATAGTTTTTATTATTTGTCTAGAACTGTTTSAACAGAAAACGTAGAATAAACCAACGTGGTTTCATTAAATGAGAGTTTACATGTTCTCCACATACGTCTGTGGGTTTTTTAACAGTATTTTTAGATTCATTGTAAATCTAAAGTGTCCCTAGGTGTGAATGTCTCATTTGTCTCTATGTGTCCCTGTGATGGTTCTGCACCTTGTCCAGGGTGTCCCCTGCACCCTGCACAGAACGTCACACAGAACATGAAGAGGAGGACAACACACGGACCTGGTCTGCATCCAGCCTTTGGGCCATAGTGGTTTGACCTCGTTCTCTAAGAAGGCCTTGAGGTAGTCCTCCAMAGACAGAGAGCACTGCTTCTCCAGCTCATAGCAGCTCAGCTTCACTCGCACCAAGTTACACAGCAGGTTCCTGCAAAAACACAGAACATCCACAGTCAGCTTCATCAAACACATAAAGCCTGGGGCCGTTATTATCCAATACAAAGGTGTAAAATACATATTTAAAATGTGCATTCTCTACGTTTGTGTCATGTAATTTAGAATCTAATTTGTGCCTAAACAGGTTAAATTGGCTTCAAAAAATGTGTTTGGCAAAACTTATAATAAAACAAAACAAAAATGTCAACTCCTCAAACAGTAATTAATACAAATTAAACAATTTCATATTTCTTTAATATTTTTTCTTTGATCGTTTTCTTACAGGAATTAAATGATCCAGTGCTTTTACAGTCATTTTCCAGATTATTATATAGTCTTATACCTTTTACTGAAGTGCATCTGTCCTTCAAATTTGTTCTGATTTTCCGTTTAACAAACATTTGTAATCCCTTCAAATTATAACAGCTTTCCCTTTTAACAAAATGTGATTGGATGTTTGACGACAACACATTTCTATGAGCCTTATACATAACCTGCAGAATGTTATAATCAACAACTCATGAAATATCCAAATTTTTATATCCAAATATATAGTTTCTCCATTAAAAAAACTTCATCAAATCAAGGTATTTCTCTGGAACCACTTATGATATCAGGATGAACAAAATGTAGCTTAAAAAAGAGGAATCTTAAAATGTGTTTAGATCATTTTGAATAAAGTTGATTTAATCCTCAGTTTGTTTTGATGGATCAGATATTAGCCAATGTTAAGGTCAGTTTGAGTCAGGATATTTAAGAGTTAATCCCTAGATTTAGATTTGAGGAGTGAAAAAAATGCAGAATAACAAAAAATTTGTTTTAATCTGAACTTTAGTTATTTGGGTGGAGCGTATCATCCCTACCTGAGCTTCTCATCCCAGAGAAACTTCTTTCGAGGACCCATCACTCTTTTTCCTGGTCTTTCCTCATCCTCCTCTTCAGAGCCGTTCTTATCGCCCTCTTCTGACTGCTGTCTGTAAAAACACAAAAAAATGCTCTTAGATATAAAATAAACTATTATTTTATTCTTTAATTTGTTGTTTTGTTGTATTTAAAGCAAACAATCCTGTAGAAGTTTAAGCCTAAAATTAAAAATAAAAGAATGAATGCCAAACCTTTAAAAGAAAACTGATTTTATTTTCTAACCAGATCTGAACAAAACCCGATTTCAAATTTATAAACCCTGAAGGACAGACTCACTTTGCAGCCTTGGCCATGCAGTCCATGTCATATCTAGCTATCTGCTCCGGCATCACGCTGCACACGGCCAACTTCAGCTTCAGCAGAGGCGCTCGCAGACGGTCGTCCTGATTCAAGGAAAGGAACAGAGAGATGGAGCCGCAGCAAAAGGACACGTTAACAAGGAAGGGAAAGAGGAAGYAGAATCATTGATAAAATGAGGAAAAACGAGAAAATAATTAATCATTTTGATTCATAGTGTCAACAGTGCTAATGGTGCGTGACAAAAGACATTAGGGTGTCACCGTGTTTTTGTTCATGTCAATCCTACCATCAGAGTCTTATAAAGACCCACATCTCATCTTCACCCTGAACAGATTTATTGTTTTTGTTCGTAGCAAATAAAAGTTCAAAATGTAGGAGCGACAGACTTTTAGCTAGCACAAAGCAATCAGAAAAGGCTGCAGCTTGAAAGATTGTTTCCTAATCGTATTCTGGATGGGTGAATGTCAGGGGATTTGGCACTTCCTCCGCAGATAAGCTTTGCTCACCTGGATGTTGAGGCTGAGCTTTTTGAGGCGCTTGAGGAGGGCCTCTTTGTTGCACGGCACAAAYGCTTCCATGTGCGAATAGATGCCTGAGCGCACCTCGGGAGGCTGCTCCTGGACCTGCAGCTCGATACTGACACAAAGTCAAGGCGGTTAGAAACAAAAAGAAAAGAAACAAAAACAATAAGGAAAAAAGAAAGCAGAATAAAAGGCAGAGATGGGAGAGTGAAGTGGTGGATGGGCRAGAACGGTGGGAAGTGGCAGAGGAATGAGAGCTGGGTAAATAGAAATGCGTAATATGTCATTACCGCTGACAATAGGAGACGGAGAGAAAACAAAACACTTAAAGACAGCAGGAGAGGTGGCTAGGGAAATTGGCTGAAAACGAATGAGAAAGGCTGATAAAAGGAGGAAGAGAGTGAGTTGCAATCTGCCTGACAGTGATTTAAAAGCTGCCCTACTCACTCCAGGAGAATGTTATTCATGTCCAGGGTGAAAAATTTCTTCCTGCCCTCCTGATCAAACTGCCGCGAAGCCTGAGGAAGAAAAGGTCGAGTCAGCGTACAGCACTGTTTTATCATAAATATCTGGGAGGGTGAATACTTGAAAAAGTGACAAATGCTTACAAAGACTCCAAACTTAATCACAAATCATTAAAGACATGGTAGAAAATTACGATTCTGACTGGTTAAAAACAGCTGAAGCATCTTTTTTTGTCACCTCCTGTCTGAAACATCCCCTGTCTCTTTAAGGCCTCTCCCTAAAGTCTAAGAATATGTGTGTGGGCCGCTGCTGGGTGTGTTGATGCTGTTTGTCCTGGAGCTTTACTCTGATGTACAAACAGCAAACATCTTAGTTGACAAATATAAAACTAGTTCTTACCACCCAGACAGCGAAACGCTATGTTTTTCAGTAACTATGTTCAAGTTTGTCTAAATGTGACTTTATTCAGGTTAGGGTGGTCAGAACATTAATACAGAGAATAACACAGTGAGGTTTTTCTCTTCTAATAATAGTTTGCATAACCCCCCACAATTTTGTTGGAATCTAAAATCATCACCGTCATTTTTCGTGTTTTTTTAAATTTATGGAAGTATATCAATTTTCACAAGAGATGTAAATCATCTGCGTTGCCGTGCAGTCAGTAGCCAAAATTGGCCCAGTTCTGGCCCACACAAGGCACAACTTGGTCCAGATACTGCATAAAATGGCGCCCCTTTGGTGGCCCAGATGTGATTTGCCAGAGGTGGTCCATACATGGATCAGCACCACATAAACCAAATTACAACCGGGCCAGTTGTGGCATCTTAAAAACAATGCATCATTGCCCGACCTGACCCACATCCAGTTGACAAACCAGCAGAGCCAGTGTTAACAGCTGAAAGTCATGCGACGCATTTCTCAACAWAAAATGATCTTAAAGGGATCCAGGATTAGTTGTAACATTAGACTTTATTTGATAAAACATACAGTTTGACTGTAAAATAAAGACTGTAAAAATACTGTAGGGTGTTTAGTTTAGTAAATTTTTTAAAACATATTTTAAGATGGACTGAGCCATTTTATGTACACGCAAAGCATTCTGGGTAAATGATGACATGGATGAGGTCATTAGTGCGAGGCTGCTAGCGAGTTATATTCACACTGAAGGTTAAATCTTGGACAATATCTGGACCTAAGTTTAGCTTGTTTGTCGCGCTAGCACCGAGCTAATACATWTAAGGCAATRTAGCATCAGCGCTAACGCTAAAGCTAACAGGCTAAGCTGAGGTTCTTCTTCCATGAAGCAGCTCTGTTGTCCTCCATCCATATTTTCAGTTCCAGGCTGAGTCATTTCTACCTTCTCCTCTCTGTCAACGCTCTCTGGTTTCATTTAAAAGAGTCGATCATCAGATATTGTCCAAGATTAACCTTCAGGGTGGATATAGCTCGCTAGCAGCCTCGCACCGATGACCTACCCACATCATCATTTACCCAGAATGCTTTGTGTGTAAATAAAATGGCTCTGTCCGTGTTAAAATATATTTTTAAAAATTTACTAAACTAAACAGCCTACAGTATTTTTAAAGTCTTTATTTTACATTTAAAATAAATGTTTATCAAATAAAGTCTAAAGTTACAACTAATCATGGATCCCTTTAAGGCTCTGTCACRCATGTTTTAGACAACTTATGAATTTTATTTTTCTAAATTACTAATAAAAGTTGTTTATTTGCTCAATTTGTTAGCGTTACAGTATGTACATGCCTTCCAGTAGATTTTTAAAATTCCATCTTTAACAGACATTTTTAAATTTTTCATAATTTGGCATAAATTGTCTAAAACGTTATAGTGTGACGGGGCCTTTAGTCTAAAATTCTGGCATTATAGATGAGCCTAAACTCCTTGTCTGTAAACGGTTGTTACTATTGTTAAATCTCTTCTCCTATGTTGTGTAACAGGAATATAAAAACGCTATTTTTTCACGTTTTTCTTCCTCCTCCTCACTTTTCTATTTTTCACCTCTGTATCTATCAATTACATAAACCCTCACCGACCTACATGTACCTCTTTAGATTTCACTAACGTCCAAAAAATGACAAAATAACTTTTTTTTACAAGGCCTGTTTAGTTACACAGCTACACACAACTTTCAGTTTTAAACCCATTTTTCTCTGATACTTCACATGAGATTATTCTCACCGGGGTAAACAGTAACAATAAACATTCGGAGCCACTTTGTAAGCTAAGTGGTGTTTGTGTTTCACTTCGTTCAAGAGGCATTATGGGTAATTGCAACCGCCTACTAAGAGACCACAGTCTACTCACCGCCCGCAGGTCCTCGATGCGTTTAATCAGGGGAGCAGGCAGTCCATCAGGTAGAGGCGGCGGAGAGAATAGTCCGCTGGAAGACCCCAGGCCTCGCCCTTGACCCCCTCCTCCTCCTCCTACTGCCGCTTTATGAGCAGGAGCGCCAATACCCAGAATGCCGTTCTCCCTGGCTGTCGACACGGCATTCTGCTGATCCGTGTCCAACAAACTGAAGTCCAAGTCGCCCAACAGATCCTGCAGCTCCTTCTCGGTGGCCGAGCCCAGTAGAGACATGGCGGCGGGGTCCGAGGTGAGGTCCTTCAGAGCGAGGTCGCTGCCAGCTGTGCCGGCCTGCAGCTGGGTGGAGTTAGAAACTAATGGGAGGTTTGTGGCGTTGCCCGAGTGGGACTTGTTAGCCGCACCTCCCGACACGACGAGGGGATCCACGCTGGGGTTTGTTTTCCTCATCTCCTCTTTCTCCCGGGTGAAGCGACGCAGCATTGCTGCCAGGTACAGAGAGTCCTTCATCAGTTTCTTCCTCTTCTTCTTCTCCGGTCGGTGGAGGTTGAGCGCTGTCACTCTGTTGGAGAGAAATATGTTATCAAAGCATTAAAGACATGTTTAAAATATAGTAAACAACTTTATTTATTCTGGATTTATGAAGAGTTATACAACCATATTCAAACCAATATGGAGTCCATGAGTGAGACAGGATAAAGTGTCAAACATTCACCAGGAGTGGATGTTCCTGCAGGTCCAAATTAAGTTCAGACTGTTTGTTGCTCAGAAAGTTAAAGAACTTGATCTCAGATTCTGTGTGCTTCAATTATTAGATGTTAAAATTAAAAGTTAAAAAGGTACAATATGTAAATTACTCATCACATATGATTATTTGGGTTATATTTTTTATTTAAATAAGTCCAGAGCTATTTTTTGCGTCCCTCCATATCCACCTCTCGCCAATTTTGGGGGAAAAAAAAGACGGCCAGAGCGAGGCTGAGTGCTATGTGTGGTCCTCATAAAGATAGGAAGACGTGTGTATGTGTGCGCGCGATGAAAACTCTGCTTTTAATCACGTAGCACCGATGCGACAGCTTAAATTGCAAGCTACTTTTTCTTTCTTTAAAATAAAATGCGACAGGTGAAGCCACATCATTGTTACCTTATCAATAATTTAGAATCACCAACACAGACCCCGTGTGCAACCAGGTTCCCGCGAGTCCGTTCATGTTCTATAAATAGCGCTGATCAGCAGCGCAGCTGTAATGTCCCTCAACTTTGAAAAAAGTAATAGTTTGTAAACTCAAATCCAGACAGAATCAGCTGCTGTACAGGTCCAGCTGGACTCAAAGATCGAGCTGAGCTCATCTCCTCTCCTCTGTCACACACACACACACACACACACACACACACACA